TCCATGATTGCTGGTTGTCATTCTCCTTTGCTGAATAATGTACAAGCTCTTGGTCCCTTTCTCCCCCTCTCCCAAAAGCTCAAGCTACATGCAAGCACCTGTAGGTGCCTACAATTAAGCATTGGTGGCACTTAACTATAATTAATACAATCCTTTAAAACTGGAAAAGAGGGATTCCTATGCATTATTGCTCATACAATCCAAAGATAGGGCTGTAGTGGTAGTGAGGGAAATCCCTGGTGATCAGAAGGCTCCTAAGAACTAGTGTCCCATTGGAAGATTTCCCTTCTATTCCTGTTTTGATAACTACCAAAAATTGATAGCAGTCACCAAGGTAAATAGAGTAGGTGAATCTCTGTAACGGGGACACAGACAGCAATAAACTTGACCTGTGTTCTAATCCCTTTCCACTCCATATCCAAAACTAAAAAAAGATTTTGGCTTCAATTGCCAAAAATTAGGGATTGTCTTTCCCTTTCAGTGATAGTGGTCACCAGGATAAATAGAGTAGGTGAATCTCCTTAACGGGGACACAAACAGAAATACACCTGACCTGTGTTCTAATCCCTCTCCATTCAATATCCAAAACTAGAAAAAGGTTTTGGCTTCAGTTGCACTTGATTTAAGAACATAGGTATCCTGTACTTTGTTAGATTGTCCCAGCCTCTAGCAATCTGAGAGGGCAATCCTAAGCTTGGATGTAGGGGACAAGGATTGGCAGTTTTGTAGGATACAGTACCAAAGGGCTGGATTTGGCATAAATGTCCACCCCACGTGAGCTAATTTAAGATAATGCACAAGGCAACAGATCATATCATACATCATACATATCACATCTCAAATTACTCCAATCAGATCAGTTCAGAGATGAAGATTATGGATTACTACTAGGGATGCACAGATACTTTTCGAGTACCGGTGCCGATACTTGGCATTTTCATGAGAACTACCGGGGTTGCAGCGGTTGCAGCTGGGACCGGGCTCTGGCGCTCCACCACTGTCCTGGAAACATTAGTCTGTATTGTTTTAGAAAAACTGTCACATGACACTAAACACAAATGTATCAGTACTTGTATCTGTAAGTACTCGGCAAGTATCAGTACTCGTACTCGCAAAACTGGTATCTGTGCATCCCTTTATTTATATTTATAAAAACAAAAGCATAACTTATAACAGAGATGTACAAATCCCGGGAGCTCCGTGTGCTCCTTACACATGACAGTGGCCTCCTAACTTTTGAATTTTTCTCTAGTCTAGTCTTGGAGCTCAAAAGTATCGGTACATGTACAAGTACTTGTACCGAGTACTGTACTTGGTATCTGTGCAACCCTAATTACTACTACTGAACTTTACACATTTATTTTTTAGTACTTTTAGCTTTTTTTATTGGATAGGTCTGTTACTTATGGACTGGTATATTTGGGTATTTAAGAACTCCATTTCACATGCATTCATAAAGTGTTTTCGAAAGGGTCTTGAGTACAGTGGTTGAAATTTAAAACAGATACTTACAATGTAGTGTAGATTGGTATTTTCACAAGGATTTGCTTTGCATGTCACTGAATTATGTTTCCCTGGACACAGCCTCTGCTGTTCAGTTGTATTTCATCTTGTTCTGCAGTCAATTGGACCCCACTGCAAATACATGGCAAGCCCAGAGCATACATTGACATTATGGGGGACATTTATGAAAGCTGATGTGACTTTTTTTTACCTGTTGCATTGTTAAAATTGATGTTAAATAAACCCCCCTTTACTTTTTTTTATGATCACTGCAAAAGATCATTTTATCGTCCAAATGTAGCTAAATTGCATGAAGTTGCATGCAATTGCAAGCAACACTTATGCTGTGACATAAGTGTCACAAGAACAGTCAAACTGCCAAACAGTGCTACAGCTCATTTTAAATGTGGTGCAAATATACAGTATGTATGTTTAAGACCTTGTTTACACCAAGTGCGGAGCAGTTACAGAACGCATGAAAATGCATCCAATGTATTCCAATGGTATTTTGGGCTCTAGTTTACGCCATAGCGTTCAGTTCCAGTGCATGTGGGAAAACTGCAGGATGCCCTATTTTGTCTGCTCTGGAACACACCAAAACACATGCAGATGCATAAAAAATGCATCCAAACACTCTGGAACGCACTGCACTACACCTAAAAGCCAGTTTTCAGCAAAAAAATGGCCTGGTACGTTTTAGAAACGTGTCAAAAACGCACCAAAACACACTGCACTGCATATGAAGAAATTCATCCAGATCTGGTACGGATTTGGTGTGAACAAGCCCTCAGGAAATGTTTATTTTGCAACGTTCTCAAGTAGTGTGCGTTCCGCTGTGCTTAAATAGAAGCCACTGTCAGCGTGTCTGTATATGTGAAAATAAAGCCACCAGCTTGAAAGCCGCCAATCTGAATGCTCCTCTCCCTGTCATCTTCTCCACCGTATTAAACCACTCCTCTTTCGTCCACCTCTCCCCCATCAAGCCTCCCTGCCACCCATCTCCCATTAAGCCACACCTCTCTCATCCATCTCTCTGCCATCAGCCATCTGAGTTCCAGGCTACCCCTCTCCTATTATGCCGCCCCTCTCTCATCCACCTCTCTCCCATCAGGCATCTGAGTTTCAGGTTACCCATCTCCTATTAAGCCTCTCCTCTCTCAATCACCTCTCTCACCTCAGGCATCTAAATTCCAGGCTACCCATCTCCTATTAAGTCGCTCCTCTATTGTCCACCTTTCCATCGTCATGCCTCTCTGTTCCAGTCCACTCATCTATCAAGCTGCTCCTCTCGTCTCCACCTCTGCTCCATCAAGCTGCTCTGCTCCCAGCCACTCATCTCCTATCATGCTGCTCCTCTTCTAATCATGTCCTCCTCCCATTTAAGCCGCTGCTCTCCTGGAACCTCCTCTTCCTTTCCTGAACACAAAACAGCACAGTCTGAATTGTTGCAAAAGCAGCTTTAATATGTGCAACAATTCACTTTATTTGTTGCACTATTGTGAGAGGTTTTTTTTCTGTGACTGATTCCTTCAAGGACTTAACACTAAAATGGCAAATCAGTGACAATGTGTGACTGAATGGTGCTTTGCGACAATATACTGGGTGCAAGGGATGCAATAAATATGTATTATATGCACAAATATGTGTAAGGTATATCTAACATAATGGCCCTCTTTAAAACAAATTTTATTTAGTAACAAATGCTAATAAAAAGGCTTACAAATCAAACACATCACAAAGGTACTGTGAACACTTATCAGTGCATCACAAATGTGTTATATTATTCCTGAAATTGTTTAAGGGCATGCATTATTGTAGGTGCATACCTCCTAACATTGAGAAAGACGGACATCTCAGTGCAGGGATGGCATGCAAAGCATGCAGTGAGCTGCAGATGAAACATAGGTGTGCCTACAGTGCACTGATTATTGGGCATAGCTTAACGGTGCATGGGTAAATAGAGGCTGAGCCTTCCTGCAAAACTCAAGGCAAAGAATCCTTATTTAACAATACTCCTCCAATACCTATGCTTTTCTGCATGTATAATACAAATAGAGTTGCTTGTGCTGTGGATCGTTGTCATTGTGAGGGGAAATCTTCCAATTGGGACACCTGTTCGAGGGTCAACTGATGGGGAAGGGGAAGGGGAAGTAAAATCTCCCCATCGGGACACAGCAAAAAGAAAAACCTGACAAAATTTCAAAGCCCTTATAGTTTTCGTCTAGCATCAAGAAGCTTCCCAGCAGATATTTTCCCCTCCCTACTTCCAAAGTTCTGCTTTGGAACTTCCAAAGAGGCATAATTAAAAGCTACAAGCTTGCAGCAAACTTTAAAATGGTGCACCATCTTATCTCATTGCCGAAAAAAAAACCCAGTTAAACCCTACTAGAAGCTCAGATAGCAGTCTGTTGGGCCCCCTCATTGTGTCGGAAGCAGTTTCCCATTGTTTAGTATAGGATTTTCACAATGGCTAATGTGAACTAGACCTTTGGCCAAACTTTTTTTCGGCCTAGGTTCTCTTTCATTTACTATTGTCCTCCTGTGACCAAAACTCAGTATATATTGGGCTACTGCCTGCTGTATGCTGACAGCGCACAGCCACGCTGCACCCGGGACACATCCCGACAATATTGTCAGGATACACCCCGCTGCCTGATTGACAGCTGGCTCTGCTTCTCTCAAAGCAGAGCCGGCTGTGCCTGCCCCCCTGTCTGTCTGTCCCTCCAGTCAGCACTGGGGGAACACGGAATGGGCGGGGGGAATCCCTGTGGGGAGTGGTGACTGACAGTCACCACCCTCTGCAGGGAGAAGATCATGAACTGAGTGATCAGCAGATTGTGATCACTCAGTTCTCGATCAATGGAGCTGACGTGTGACAGCTTCAGTGTCACATCTTTGCTCTAAGCATGGGGATGAGTGTATTTCACTCTCCCCATAATTCTCCTTCAAAGTGTAACTACCTTTAAAAAAAATGTACATTTGTGGCCACAAAATGCCGATACGATGGGTCACCTTTAGTGAAGATAAGACCTGTTCCCAGGAATATTACCTGCAGCCTCCTGACTTTGAGTCAAATGTAACTCCTGAGTTTAGCATCAGTTTAATGTGGGACTCCATAGCTTCATAAACTTTTCCCTAACCCAAAACCTAGACTTGGTTGGAGTTCTTCTTTACAGTTTATGGTGTCAGACTTGTTAGGTATTTTTCACATAGAAATATTTTATAGATCATTCTTGACTTGAGATGCATGAATTTAATTTTGCAATAATGGAAATAGTGGAAGGAAAAGAGGAACATTATTTTTTCCTCTAAAAACAGACGGCCACATGTTATCAGTTAAAGTGATTGCCATAACAAGTTCCATATTACACAGCCTTTCTGCTTGAGTTGTAGGAAACTATGAAAAAAAGAGAAAACTGGATAATATTTCCGAACTGGGATGTCCAAATTACACATATAATATTGTATTCACCCTCATCCATTTTCCAACCTTACAGGTTGTCCGAGGATGGATCTTGAAAACAAAGACAACATTGTCCTGGGAGAAGAGAAATTCCGATACTTCTGTTTAGAATTTGTGAAACATTCCCAAAGTGTAGAGGATGGCTGGGAGTGGAAAAATGTCCAGGTAATGTGTGTGTGAGTCACAGTCTATACATTATATAATTAACGTGTATGCAGTCAGCATTTTCTGCAATGTTCTACATTTGGTTTGTACTTACACTACTGAAATTAGTTTTTCTTCCACCACACATATTGGTGATTACTGTTTGAAAAGGTAATCTAAAACAGTTACAGCTACAAACAAAGGTGAATATTTATAATGGGTCATAGAGGTCATATGGTGCTATTTCGCCACCCTTTCTGAAATGTAATCTTCTCACAGTGTATTTTTAAAACTAGTTTCAGCTTTTGAGTTTGTTGTATTAAATCATTCACCACTTTTGCATTGTACTGTAACCAAAACTTTAAGCGTATCTAAGCTCAAAAACAAAAATGTATTATGTTGCAGTTTTTCAAGCCTTAAATGTGGTGTCTGCATTTGTTTTCTTTTTACCCCCCAATTTTGACCTGGTGATACAGCCAGTAAGTCGTTATTTTTTAACTTCCTTTAACACAGCGGTCGCCAACCAGTGAACCGTGGACCACTGGTGGTCCGTGGAATATTTTGGTGGTCCCCGGGCCCCTCTGATGCCGTGCAGACTGGGCCGTCATTGAAGCGGCATGGAGGCTCTGGGGCTGCCTCTCACTGACTCAAGCAGCGGCTGTCACAAGGAATGCGCGGCTCTCTGTATAGTGCGGGCTCTGCAGTAGGCGGGGCATTTCGTCAGTACCCGGACTGAGCAGGCTGCGGGACATAGAAAAAGTGGGGAGAAGCCAGGTAATAGTGGCTCAGTGTGGGGGAAGGGGAGGCACGGGGGTGGTTGGGGGCAGTGCTGAAGATAGGGGGGGACATGTGCCCCAGGCGCCGCCGGCAGGGCCAGTGGCAGATTCGATAGGGGGGAAACAATTAATATTATTACTGGGCCAGAACGGGCGGCACCAGTCCCTCCCTCCTCCAGCACTGCCACTCCTGCAGGCACACTATGTATGTGTATATATACACTGTATGTATATATAGATATATTCTCATATTTTTTGTTTCCTCATATATAAATATATTCTCATATGTGTGTGTATCTTTTAGATTGTAAGCCCTCAGGGGCAGGGCCCTCCTTACCATCTTGTCTTGATTTGTATTGTGATTGTAATGTCTTCCTTATATTGTAAAGCGCTGCGCAAACTGTTGGCGTTATATAAATCCTGTATAATAATAATAATAATGATATATTTTTTTTTTTAAATCATATTAGTGGTCCGCGGGATTTGAAATTATGAATTTAGTGGTCTATGAGATCCGAAAGGTTGGCGACCGCTGCTTTAACAGACCAAGCTGTCCAGCAAAAGTAACAGATAGATGGTTGGGATACTTTTAACATTTAACACTGAGAGGGGTGCTTACAATGGTCTGTTTTATTCATTTATGTAAAAATGTTTATCCAAAAAGGAAACACATTTTTTTGCTGTAACTGCTTAAAAAGTGTGAGCTGCAGTTTCGATTTAATTTGTTGGTCAAGTCTATCTAAATCTTCTAGTCCATCTAACACTACACTCTACACAGGGTGACAATGATGCTGTCTAAGGGTGGCTCTGTTGCTCCTCTATAGAATGGAGCCAGCCTAAAAATGAAAATGAATGCAGCCACCACATATAAGTTTTGGGTTTAGATACATGCATGTAAACCCTAACAATGAACCTTTCCTATGTATTCCATTTTGGTCTGTTAAGTATACCATTGAAAAATACCTGTTGATCCTGCAAGAATCCCTGTGAGCTGGAAACCTTTTGTGTTCTCTACACATCACCCTCTGCCTCTGAGGAGAGGGTCATGTGTTTTGTAGTCCTATAGTGGCAATGCTGCTCCTCCATATAAACAGTAGGGTAAGGGAGCGTTGTCACCCTAGCAAAGGAAGTGTGTTAATAGCAGGATCATCAGATGCAAATAAAGGATACAAAGCCTGAAAGAAAAAAAAAAAGAATACTATTGCATCCATCAAATCTAAGCACTGGTAAGCTGCAGTATTACATTTTTGTTTGGGTTTGACAAAAATTAATATTCGCTAGAGTAGGGAACAGCTGAAACCCCTGTTCCTTCTTCGTTTCCCCTTTTGGATTTTTCCCCTCACTACCTCTCCTCATGACAACATTGTCACCAGGACAGGAAGTGAGCTATAATCTCTGTAACAAAGGACACTGTGGCAATAAAGCTGTTATTTATGGGTAGATAGTGCTGAACCTACGTTAGCTTTTATGGGTGCCTCTGTCTACATTAAAATTTTTCCTCGCATTCTACCGTAGTGACAACATTGTCACAAGGATTGGTAATGGAAACCTCCCCCATGGTGGTTGGACTAGAAGAATGATAGCCATAATCTCATAGATTGGTAATGGCCACACCTCCTTTTTATTTTGCTTTGACTTTTTATGTATTTTAAATTTACATTTTCTTTTGGTTTGTGCATTATATTATGTGAGGTAGAAGCAGTCGGAATAAGAATTTTCCATGGTACAGGTATATTTAAAAAATAGAGTTGCTGCCTTCTGGCAAAAATAAGAGACAGAGGATGGAGTAAGGGGGTGAAAAAGGCCTAGAGCAGTGGGAGGGGTGAATGATGGCACGCCATTAACATCTGCACTGGATGATGATGTTACCCTCTCCTTGACGCTGCAGGGGGAGTTTCCGCCTTTAGATCAGAGTCCCCCCCTTTACATCAAAAGCTCCTCTTCACATCAGCAGTCCCCCCATCATACCTTAGACTCCCTTTAAATCAGGAGCCTCCCTTCAAATCAGACTCCCCCTTCACATCAGAGTGTCCCATTGCCCCCATTTTATATTAAAGGTCCCGCATCACATTACAGTCTCAGCTTCATATTGTGAGTCCTTTTTCACAACCGGAGCCCCTTTTCACATATCCTCAACTTCCCCCCCTTTCACATCCTCAGTTTCTCCTTCATTAGAATCCTACCTTATGCTCACCACAGCAGAGGCAGTCCAGATAAAGTTCCTTTCGCCCTCTGAATACTGTGGCTGTCCTGGATGCTGCCCTACCTAGATCAGTGCCATGTGCTTACATGGTGACTCCACAGAAACACATGAAGCTGTGCAGCATCATAAAATACAGGTAAAAAGAAACTGCGTGTGGTCCCTCTCCCAATCCATACCACACCCTTTAGGTCTGGTAGGAAAGTTAGGAGGGACCCCAAATTAAAAAGCAAAAAAAAAGCATGTGGGGTTCCCCCAAAAGTCATACCAGGCCCTTTAGGCCTGATAGGAATTTTAAGGGGGAACCCCACCCCCAAAAGACAAAAAAAAACAAACTGTGGGGTCCCCCCAAAATTCCCAACTAGGCCCTTAATCCGAGCACTGGCCTGGCAGGGCATGAAAGGGGGGGGGACGAGCAAGCCCCCCCCCTTCCTGCGCCATACCAGGCCACGTGCCCTCGGCATTGGGTGCTTTTCCAGTGACACCCCCTGGAAAAGCACCTTGTCCGCGTGCCGATGAGGACAAGAGCCTCTTCTGCCACAACCCTGACAGCCGGGAGCTCTCTGGATCTGAGCAGGCACTTTTAAACTTCCACTCAGCCACTCCCACTCACGTGCAGGAAAGTGCCAAAATTTAAAAACAGGCAGCGATGGCTGTTTACATACAAGCATTCCGCCAGCTATAGAGGCGGCAGATCGCTTGTATGAGGTGCCGGTATGTGTGCCCCCCCTCCCGCTGGTCCCGGGCTCTGCTGTGCCCGGTCCGAGCCCGGGACCAGCATGGTGGCTCTGTGACAGGGATCAGAGGGAGATCGGTACACGATCTCCCTACGGTCCCCTCTCCGGTGTCAGAATGCGGAAGTGATGTATATTACATCACTTCCGCATTCTTGTGTCACTCTCCAGCTTCAGAAGCTGATGAAGCAGATCTCTGCTTCATCAGCTTCTTTGGGGTTCCCTAGGTGACATTAGGGGTCTTGGAGACCACCGATGTCTCCATAAAGAGGACCTTTCACATCCTCTTTGCTATCACATAGGGGGGTTTCTTAGCCCTCTAAGTGATGACAATAAAGGTAAGTGGAAAAAAAAATAGGAAAACAATTAAATGAAAGTTGCCATAAAAAATGAAAGTTACACATGAAAAAGAATAAAAAAAACACAATTTTTTTGAAAGTCCCCACCCATACATACATGCATGCAAACATGCGTCAGGTGCGCATACGTACAAAAACGACGATTGCGCCCATTACGCTGCACATGTTACATATCGCCACGAACATCGCAGTGAGAGCAATAATTCTAGGCCCATCTGTCACTGATAACACTGAACTGATGAGCGGTAAAAGCTTTTAACCCCTTCGTGACTGACGACGTACAGTGTACGTCGCCAGCATCGGGGCTGTTTAAACAGACTCCCGGCGACTTTTGCCGCCGGGACTCTGTTTAAACTTGTAGAGCCGACTGTCGGCTTTACAACAGAAGCGATCCTGGCGACTTACCTGTCGCCAGATCGCTTCTGCGTCCCGAAGAAGGGGCCGCCCCCCCGCCGGACACCCCCGCCGTGCTTCCCGGGCTCCGTTGCCCCTCCTACGGGCCCGGGACCGGCGATCTTTGTGTCCGCGGGGAGCTGGGGAGGAGGTCGACGAACTTCCGTTCATCGATCCCCTCCCCGTTCTATGGGACCGGGAGCGATGCAGATTGCATCACTTCCGGTCCCTGGGCTGTCAGTTCTGGGCTCCTGCAGCCCAGCTATAAGCTATTGAAGTGCGATCTGCACTTCAATAGCTCATTTCTAGTGTAAAGGTGACACTGAGGGTCTTTTGGACCCCCAGCATCACCTTAAAGAGGACCTGTCACCACCATCTGCTATTACATGGGGGGGCTTGCAAGCCCCCCCATGTGATAGCAGTCAAAGTAAAGTAAAAAAAAAACAAAAAACAGTTTTTAAAATTAAATTTAAATAAAATAAATCTAATAATAATAAAAAAAATTTAAAAAGTACCCCGCCCCCGCGAGCACGCGCGTCGCCACGTAAACACGCGTCGG